AGAGAGAGAGAGAGAGAGAGAAAGAGAGAAGACTCTGCTCTAATAAACTAAAATATAAATGGGATTAAATTTAATTTTGAACATCTTTTCCTACTACACATTGTGTTTTGAGAGGAGTTTCTTGGGGACAAAAAGTCAGGCTGCTATGTGATTCTGGCTCCCAGATCTAGGGACCTTTATAATTAGGTCAGACATGATATTCCCCAAGGAGTTTCTGTTTCCAAAAGGTCCTACTGACACCGAGGGGTCGAGTTGCAGCTAGAGTAGCAGCACAGTTTCTTTCCTACCATTCCAATAATTCAGAAATGTCTCCCAGCTCTGGGACAAAAGCTGCCACCATGGAAGATATGTTCTCTCTTCCACAAAGTACTAGAGATGCTCTAAAAATTCCTTCTTTTTTTGCTCTCATCTCTACTGTGTTAATTTTCCTCACTAGCCTGTGCAGTCAGTGATACCTCCATTTCTATAATATTACTTGAAATGTTCAAATGACAGGAGAAGTGATTAGATTACAGCTTCTTTAGTTAAATAACAGGAACACTGTCACTGCAGGTTCCTTTCTAAGACTTCCTATTACATATTATATCTCTTAGAAAGTATTATTTTTTGGGTCATCTCAACCATTTTGTGCTGATTCTTAGTTTGCTATTTGTGGAACATGACCCAAGGGCCAAGCTAAGTGCTTTATCTGCATTATCAAATGTAATCCTATGACACCCACCCCCAATATATACTTTTAGTTTCCCATTTTATAATTCACTTACTTTAGGACAGTGTTAGGCAAGAATAGAATTGAACTTCAAATGCAGGTCTGAGTCCCTAAGAACAAGTTCTTACCACTAATGCTATTCCCTTACTCAGCTCCAAGGATGAAATAATCCTGGCCTTCCCAAGTCTAGGCACCTTTCTGTAACTCCCTTTGTATTTATTTACATTAATATCAATTGATTGCTTAGTCTAGTCTAGGCAGAAATCTGTACTATGCAGCGTGGGGTGAGATAAAGCAAAATAACAAGACACTCCTCACCTTTGTGAACTTTCAATTTTTTTTTTTTTTAAAGATTTAGTTAAGTAGTGGTTTTCAACTTATGATGTACACTAGAATCATCTGTGGAACTTCAATAAATACTGATGATAGAAATTCTGATTTAATTTGTCTGTGTTGAGGCCTGGACAAAGGGATTTTAAGATACTCCCCAGATGATTTTAATATGCAGCCAAAGTTGAGAACCAAACAGAAAAAAAACATCCTCATATAAAACAACATTAGACGGCTGGGGTTGTGGCTGAATAGTAGAGTGCTTGCCTAGCATGCATGAGGCACTGGGTTTTATTTTTATATGCACTGGCACCATATAAAAATAAACAAATAAAGGTATTGTGTCCATCTATAATTAAAAAATAAAAAATGACATTAGAACAATTACAATGTACAAAATGATATATTTTGAAATCCACTTAATTATACCTTACCTCTTCACACAGAGGATGTGACGTGGCTAACAAATTACTCGGTCCAGAATGATTCCATTGAGGGACACAGAATAGTTGGTACTTGTGTCAAATAAGCCATAGATGGTCTAGGAGAGATGAATTCAGTGAAGAAACAATTCAGGTGCATTTTATTTCTCTGGTTTTGGTTTGCAAGGCAGCAGTGGCAGATTTTAGGGAAAAATAGTTCTCAGAAAACAGCTGATTGGACTGTGTGCTGTTTCTGGGTGACTGATTGGTCCAAGAACTGTTTCCAGGCAGTAGATTGGTCCATTTGCTGTTTCCAGGCTGTCTAGCCACTACTAGATTGCCTTGTCTCCAAGGGTTACTCAATCTACAAAGTGATAACAGGTCTCCAACGCTTGTGTGGTATTATATTTTTTCCCCATTACAGAAGCTGATTGAAGAAAATACCAGTATTTTAAGGATGACTTATAGGCACATTGTACATTTCCTTGATCCATTTTTTCTAAAGTTACAAATTGCTTATAAGGTAGAAGCTTCCTAAATAATTTTTTTTTTCCACAAGCCAGAGCGTTGCTGGAGTCATTGCATGAAAAATTATGGCTGTTAGGAGGCTGGGGATATAGCTCAGTTGGTAAAGTGCTTGCCTCACTTTATAAGGCTCTGGGTTCAATCCTTAGCACCACAAAAAAAGAAAAATTATGGCTTTTAAAAGGGTAGCCTTGCATCTGGTGTGGTGGTGCATGCCTGTAATCCCAGTGATAATGGAGGCTGAGGCAGGAGGATGGCAAGTTCAAAGCCAGCCCCTGCAAAAGCAAGGCCCTAATAAATTTAGCAAGACCCTGTCTCAAAATAAAAAATAAAAAAGATCTGGGGATGTGCATCAGTGCTTAAGTGCCCCTAGGTTCAATTCCTGGTAGTCTCCCCTTTCTCAATTAAGGATAGGATGCTGAGGGGTAACTCCATGGTAGAGCACAGTGTTAAACCCTGGTTCAATCTCCAGTATGAGGGGGTGAAAGTGTATGTGGAGGGCAGACTTCAACTGTTGGATTATTTTCTATCTTTTTTTCTTTTAGAATATATGAAGTTGCCGGGTGAGGTGGCACACACCTGCATTCCCACTAATCCCAGTGGATCATGACTTCAAAGCCAGCCTCAGCAAAAGAAAGGTGCTAAGCAACGCAGTGAGACCCACCCTATCTCTTAAAAAAAAAAAAAAAGAATATGCAAAGTTGTTTTTTGTTTAACATTAGAAGGAAAATATAATGAAAATAATGTAATAGTTAAAAGTGAGAAAAGGTTAAAATCACTGTAATCCTATGATCTTTCTTTCTTTCTGTACCAGATGTGTTTAACCACTGAGTCACAGCCCCGACCATTTTTTTTTTTAGTTGTAAATAGACACAATACTTTTATTTATTTATTTATTTATTTTTATGTGGTGCCGAGGATCAAACCCAGAGCCTTGCACGTGCTAGGCCAGCATTCTACTGCTGAGCCACCACCCCAGCACTTCACCCTACCAGCCATTTTTATTTATTATTTTGAGACAGGGTCTTGCTAAATTGCTTAGGGCCTCGCTAACTTGCTGAGGTTGGCCTTGAACCTGCAATACTCCTCCCTCAGCCTCCCAAGTTGGTGGCATTACAGGGCATACACCACTATGTCTGGCTCATAACATTAATATTCAACTATTTTCACCTGTGCATAGTTTTCTTCTGCCCTAAGGTCATATTTTTTGGATGATGACTAAGTACAATTTAAGGCTTAATGTCTGACCATATGTTTTAAAAGTTACTATAATTTTATTTTATATTTGCTTACCAAGTTCCTTAGAAAGTGATTCATGAACAAATTTAACTTTTTAGTTTCAGATTCAGTGAATGTTTTTAGTGGCATATACATGCATTTATAGTGAATATTGATTTTACATAATTATCTCATTAAAACAAAAAACATGCATTTGTGGAGAGGCCACATTGTGGGTTGGTTGTGTTCTAAGGAACAGAGATATAGCTGGAAAGAAAACAGACAAAATCTCCACAAACTAGTAGAGAAAGATGGGCTCTAGTAACCAAAGCTGGCAGAATGTTCCTTGTTCCATGTGCTTTATATGTATCAATCAACTCCTTTAATATCCCTAACAACCCCATGAAGTAGGTACCCCATTATCTCTCTTTTATAGGAGAGGGAACCAATGCACAGAGGGGTTTAATTTAAGAATATGCATTTGAGAAGAGAATCAGTCTGTGGAACAAAAATCTGAAATATTAAAATACGTCACCAGAAAGTTAAGATTTATCCTAGATACCAACTTGCTCTGATTTATTACTCTTATTTCCTTGTATCTCTTTCAAAATATGATACCACACTTATCCCATTTCCTCCTTTCTTCTTTTTTTTTAAAAATATTTTATTTTTTATTAACATGCATTTATTGTAAATGTTACTAGTATATTTCAAAGTATGTATAGTGTGCACATTCTGATCAATGCTCACTATGGAGCAAATAAATACAAAGAATAAAAGTGAATTCTGGATATCTAAAATAAGTTCAAAATAACAATGATGAGGGTTGTGACTCAGAGGAAGAGCACTCGCCTTGCATGCGTGTGGCCTGGGTTCGATCCTCAGCATCACATACAAACAAAGATGTTGTGTCTGCCGAAAACTAAAAAATAAATATTAAAAATTCTCTCTCTCTTTCTCTCTCTTAAAAACAAAACAAACAACAACAACAACAACAAAAACAAAGGTATTGTGTCCACGTACAACTAAAAAATAAATGTTTAAAAATAAAATAAAATGATGAAAACTTCAAAGTTATGTACTATAGACAATATTCTAGAAGTTTCTATACTGATAGCAAACATCAATCATCTATTAAATCCAAAATAAGTTTTTGAAATGTTTGAGTAGCTTAATTTCACAGCACAGATACATCAATATATAATAAGCATATAATCAACATCATAAAATTAATGTGGCTCTCAGTGGGTCTTCTGTGCCAGATATTTTCCATCTGATTAGATCATTTAATCTTCAAAAAGCACTTTGTGTCCCCATGCAGTGGTCTATACCTGTAATCTCAGCTACTCTGCAGGCTGATGCAAGAGGATTGCTAGTTTGAGGGCAACCTGGGCAGTTTAACAAGATATCCTGTCTTAAAATAGATATTTTCTAAAAGGTTGTGTCTGTAGCTTAGTGGTGGAGTGCTTGCCTAGAATGCAAGAGGCTCTTGTTTCAATCCCCGGTACCAAACAAGTCACATTGTAATAGCAATGTTTTTGTCAAGTTACACCAAGAATGATCATTTAGTTTGAACTAGGAGGACTGCTACCACATCACATCTGCCAGTTATAATTTAAGAAAAGAAAATTTAAGAAAATCTCCAAAGAGGAAGAAGCCCCCAGAAGTGGTCATGAATACACAGAGCCCCATACAGGACTCACAGTATTGCTGGGTCATCTTCTACACTGCTGGTGATGAGCTCTCCTCAGTCCTACATCAGGATGGGTCAATGTCAGAGGAAGGTGGCAGGGAAGCCCTGAGAGTCAAGACCTTTCCCCATAGCTTCAGTACCTACAGAAAAACAAAGCTAATAAGCAGTCACCAGGTGTGTGAGCTTACAGAGGGAAGTGGGGAGCTTACCACATCAAAATGCCTTCCTGTAGAAAGACCACCATGTCCAGATTCCACAGATAAATATGATATATTAAATCAAGATCTAAATGAAATAAAATAAAAATGCCACTCATACCATCGCTGTAAGGAAACTTAATATTTTATATACTTTTAAATTAATTTTTAAGTTTGTTTTAATTAGTTATACGTGACAGTAGAACTCGTTTGTGCACTTTGATATCTCATACATAGATGGGATATAATTTCTCATTTTTCTGAGTGTACATGTTGCAGAATCATATCGGCCTCGTAGTCACATATATACATAAAGTAATAATGCCTGTTTCATTCTACTCTTTCCTATCCCCATATCCCTTCTCATCCCCTCCCATCACTTCCCTTTACCTAATTTAAGGTAAAGCTATTCTTCTGTAGTGGCCCCCATCCCTGCCTTATTGTGAATTAGCTTCCCCATTTAAGAGAAAACATTTGGCCTTTGGTTTTGTGAGATTGGCTTATTTTGCTTTTCTAACTCCATTCTAACTCCATTCTAACTCCATTTATTTACTGGCAAATACCATAATTTTATTCTTCTTTAAAGCCGAGTGATATTCCATTGAGTATATATACTATATTATCTTTATCCATTCATCTATTGAGGGATACCTAGGTTGGTTCCATAGTCTAGCTATTGTGAATTGAGCTGCTATAAACATTCACATGGCTGCATTTCTGTAGTATGCTGATTTTAAGTTCTTTGGATATAAACCGAGGAGTAGGATAGCTGGGTCAAATGGTGGTTTCATTCTCAGTTTTCTGAGGACTCTCCATAGTGGTTGCACCAATTTGTAGTGTCACCTGCAATGTATGAGTGTACTTTTCCCCCACATACTTGGTAACATTTATTGTTTCCTATATTCTTTTTTTTTTATTTTTAAGAGAGAGGGAGAGAGGGAGAGGGAGAGGGAGAGAGAGAGAGAGAGAGAGAGAGAGAGAGAGAGAGAGAGAGAGAGAGAATTTTTTAATATTTATTTTTTATTTATCGGCGGACACAACATCTTTGTTTATATGTGGTGCTGAGACTCGAACCCGGGCTGCATGCATGCCAGGTGAGCTCGCTACCGCTTGAGCCACATCCCCAGCCCCTGTTTCCTGTATTCTTATGATTGCCATTCTGACAGGAGTGAGATGAAATCTTAGTATAGTTTTGATTTGCATTTCTCTAATTGCTAGAGATGTTGAACACTTTTTCATATATTTGTTCATTGATTGTATTTCTTCTTCTGTGAAGTGTCTATTCAGTTCCTTGGTCTATTTATTGATAGGGTTATTTGGGTTTTGGGAGGTTAAGTTTTTTGAGTTCTTTATATATCCTCGAAATTAATGTTTTATTGGAGGTGCATGTGGTAAAGATTTTATCCCAATCTGTAGGCTCTCTCCTAAAGTTATTGATTGTTTTCTTTGCTGAGAAGCTGCTTTTAAATTTGAATCCGGAGTTCAAAACCCAATTGAGTCGAATGTATGAAAGATGATATGTCTTGAGCTCTGTAATGTTTTGAACAACCAATAAAAAAATAAATAAATAAATAAATA